GATACCTAATAGATATGCATATTTTGGGTTGTATGTGATAACTTGATACATTCATATAACAAAATCAGGATAACTGGGATATCCATCGCCTTAAATTTTATTTTTGAGGGGGGATGGGGTCTTGCTCTGTGGCCCAGGCTGGAATACAGTGATGTGATCATAGCTCACGGCAGCCTCAACCTCTTGGGCTTGATCTTCCCACCTCAGCCTCCTGAGTAGCTAGGACTACAGGTGCACAGTACCACACCTGGCTAATTTCTTTTTTTTTTTTGGTAGAGACAAGGTCTCCCTATGTTACCCAGGCTCATCTCAAACTCCTGGGCTCAAGCAATCCACCTGCCTCAGCTTCTCAAAGTGTTGCGATTATAGGCGTGAACCACTGCACCCAGCCCGTCTTCCCTCTTTTTATATGGACACCAGTCAATGAATTAGGGTCCACCTTACTCCAGTATGACCACCTCATCTTAACTAGTTACATTTGCTGAGACCCTATTCCCAAACAAGGTTCCCTTCCTAGGTATTGGCGGTTAGGACTTCAACATGTCCTTTCAGAGGACACAGCTTAACCCCTAACAGGAAACAACTAATATAAACCCTCTCTTTACAGTTTCAAGTCACTTTCACAGCCTTCCTCTTACTTGATTCACGTAATGATGCTGTGAGAGGGGCATGGTAGGGCCAACACCCCCACTTTACAGATGTGGAAACTGAGGTCTGAGAGGTTAAGGAACTGGGACAGGTTCATGCAGAGCCAGGATTAGAACTCAGCAATTCTCACTCCACATACCTGCTCTTCGAATCATGTTTTTCAGCCATCTCCCTAACCTGGTAATTTAAAAATGACCAGGTCCGGCCAGGTCTGGTAGCTCATACCTGTAATCCCAGCACTTTGAGAAGCCAAGGTGGGAGATCACTTGAGCTCAGGAGTTTGAGACCAGCCTGGGCAACAGTAGATAGGGAGACCCCATCTCTACAAAAAAAAAAAAAGATAGCGGGTGGTGGTGCATGCCTGTAGTCCCAGCTACTTTGGAGGCTGAGGCAGGAGGATCGCTTGAACCAGGGAGTACAAAGTTCCAGTAAGCCATAATTGCACCATTGCCCTCTAGCCTGGGCAACAGAGTAAGACCCTGTCTCAAAAACAAAAACAAAAACAAAAAGTTAGGTCCATCCCAGATGACCTGTGATTCACTCTATTTCTTTGTGGCCATAGAATTAGGAATGAGTTCCTGTTCCCATCAGCAGGCCACCTGCAGCCCTGGACTGAAGGCAGGGACATCAGTTAGGGGCTGATGTGAGGGATCTTGGCCTGATTCAGCCCAGGGCCTTGGTGCACAGGAGGTCCTCAATAAATGGCAGTTGAATGAAGCTGCAGGGAACAAGACATGGGTGAATTCCAGCATCTTTGCAGATCCGTGGGATTCAGAGACTAATGGGTGATTTCTGGTGGAGGAGGGAAAATGCAGGAGTCAATGACTGGTCTGTCTCAGCCTTGTGCCATCTGGGAGGGACCTGGTTCCATCAGGTTTCACTTCAGTTCTTTTATCGTGCTGCTAAGCTCTGACCCCAACGTGAATCTCCCTGCCCCAGACCACATGGGCAATGCTGGGTCTTGAGAAAGCACTTTGGTGTCTGTACAAGATCTGCTGGCTTCTATTTCCAGGCCCTGCTCCTTCCCCAGGGAAGCCAGGTCCTAACACCTTCATTGTAACCCATTCAACCCTGGATTCTTTTCACAGAATGGGCCTGAAAGTCATTCAGCGGAATGTGCGCAAGTTCCTGCAGCTCCGTTTCTGGGGCTGGTGGAAGCTGTATAACAAGGTGAGGGCGAAGGGGCCAGGCCAGTGGGGACTGCTGCTGCCTGTGGGCTGGGGGAGGGCTCAATCCTGGACGGAGGTGCCCCTCAGGAGAGGCTGCAAGAACAGTTTGAAAATGAGGGCGCCTTAGAGACAAAATCTAGCCTCTGTCCAGACAGGGACTAATTCCTCCCTAAGAAAAATCATGGGGCCAGGCACAGTGGCTCACATTTGTAATCCCAGCCCTTTGGGAGGCTGAGGCAGGAGGATTGCTTGAGGCCAGGAGTTTGAGACCAGCCTGGGCAACACAGTGAGACCCCATTTCAAAAGAAAAGAAAGGAAGAGAGAGAGGAAAGGAAGAGAAAGAGGAAAGGAAGGGAGAGAGGAAAGGAAGGGAGAGAGGAAAGGAAGGGAGAGAGGAAAGGAAG